GCCACGTTCATTAAAATAACTAAATTATTAAACCACGGTTCCTTCTACATCTTCCATAATCCATATGTGTGCGTTTTCATCATTCAATTGGGAGGCTGTATCGTTACTCCGCTGAAGTGCATCGATATCAAAATTTAAGACATGGTCCATGTCAAATGAATCTCTAGCTTTTGTCTTTACAACAACACTCCACTGCTTATCGGTCGGATCATCTACATAAAAGACTTGTTCTGCTTGGCTTGCTAAGATGAAAGACTCGTTCTGTTCTCTTGCTCGCGAAAAATTCACCAATGTAAAACCAAACTCATCAGTTTGTAGCGTTCTGCCCGCTGAGACCCAATCACATTGAAACACTATGACTTTTAGGCCATCAGGATATTGGAGTTCAATTATATCTTTCAATACACCAAAGTAAGTGACAGCTCAAATAAGGGGATTATTATCATGTCTGCTAGCAAAACTACTTATTTGTGCAGTAATAACCACCCCATTATTTTGTGTTTTTCTTCTAATTTCAAGATCTTTCACGTGGAAACGAAAACCATTAATAATAAACTCTCGGTATCGCTTTCCTGCCAGATTAGGACCTCGAGATAAGGCTCTAAGTTCTTTAGAAACCTCATTTCCAGCAAGATATAATTCTTCAACCTGCTTGATATAATTTAACGTATTAATAAATAGCTACAAACTAGTATTTGAATAGCTTAAATATAACATCCATCAGAATTGTAACATATATTAACTTACATGATTATATAGCCAGCCAGCAAAAGTTTCACTGTGAATTCTTTCAACATCTTTCCTACTAAGACGATGATTTGCCGCTTCAGCTAAAGCTTTGTGTTTTCTGCATAAAGCTTAAACATAAATCATAAGAATATATGGCAGTTAAAATTAGAATCATAAGAATAAGTGGCCACTTTGATAGCAAATAAAAGACTTTGACTCCTCCAAAATAGCCCATAAAGTAAAAATATAATTAAATATTTAATTTATTTTGCGTAAAATAAACAGGGCACTTTACAAATAAATTCATCAATGGGTACTTATTCATCATAAAGAGATCCAGACAATAAACTCTTTTACAAAAAAATCTACACATGGTTTAGAGGTTTGTAAATGACTAAAATAGCCCCTCGTACTTTCATATGCTTCAGTTTCATCCTTTAATTTAATCTAACCTCAATTTGACACCAAATTTCACAAATTATTTAATTTTGACCCAAAACACATTTTTATGGACAATTTTGTCTGTCAACCGCTGTTGACTTTTTTTTTTCCTTATTTTTCCGCCCGTTTCCCGGGTTGACCGGCGGTTAACGCCGGTCTTCGGCGTTGACTGTTTCAATTTTTTTTGTTTTATTTCTTTATTTTCTTTCATTTCTGTAACATCTTTTTTCCCTTTAAACAACAATATTGTTGTGATTGACAGTAATATTAATTATATTACTACTAAAATAGTAAAATTAACTATAATATAGTTTAAAAGAGTAATATTGCTATATATTAATCTCTAGCACAGTAATAGTAACACAACAAAACTTATTATTATTGTGTAATAGAGTAATATTAATATGTTGAGCGTTCAACAAATGTAAACATAATAAAAAGCCAAAAGAATTAATATTACTGTGAGTGACAGTAATATTACTATAACAACAGTAATGTTACGTCAACCATAGTAATATTACAATAATAGACAATAATATTATTACGTTATTTCACCAATAATTCAAACAAAACAAAAAAACCCCAAAAAACTAATAATATTGATGTGGTTGACAGTAATATTACTATAGCAACAGTAATATTACCGTCAACCACAGTAATATTATTGTGTTTACAGTAATATTACAATAATAGACATTAATAATATTACGTTACTCCGTGGATAACTCAAACAAAACAAAAAAAACCCAAAACAATAATAATATTGATGTGGTTGACAGTAATATTATTGTGTTTACGGATATTTTACTGTCAACAACAGTAATATAATTACGTTGACTTGTCAACAAATCAAACAAAACTAAAAAAAATAACCAAAATAAAATATATATTGTAATTGACTCTAATTGTACTGTCAACGGCAGTACAATTACATAAATGTATTGTCAACGGCAATCCAATTATGTTAATGTACTGTCAGTGACAGTATAATTACGTTAATTTACTGTCACTGAAAGTACAATAACCGTTAATGACAGCACAATTACGGTCAACGTTTAGCGGCGGACGTTAAAAAAATAAAAAATAAAAAAAGTCAACGCCGGAATCCGGTGGCAAAAAAATATTTTTTGAAAAAAAAATTCAAAATTGGATTTTTATGGTCAAAATTGATTAAATTGGGGTTACAATTAAGAATTGTGTGTAAATGGTTGGCGGTAATTTTGTCATATACATGGATGTTTCATTTATTGATAATAAATATTAAATGGATGGACTTATTGGTCAAAGAGATATAGTCCCTAAACCTAAACTAATAAAGATGTTTGGTTGGGGACTTATGTACAAAAACCCCGAATAAATAATATATAATTTATTTATAAGTGTATTTTTCGGAAAACAATTGGAAATTGTGGAAAGAATCCAAAAAAATACGGAAAATTCAGAAACCGGAATGAAAAGAAGTTGTGTTTTCAAATCGTAACGGGTAAAAATTGGAAATTTCGTTCCAAATTTCACCCCAACGCATAAGTCATGACACAAAATGAAGCTAGCTAGGTAAGGAAGACATTTTCACTAACTAGCAAATACACAATAAAAAGATATTATTTAGGTGCTATTTGCATATGGTACATTATATCTTGATGGGCATGTTTTGCCATTTTTATTAGGGTAAATTTGAGATAGATCCATAGAACGAAGTTTTACTACAAATCAACACATCTTTTAATTTTCATTTTAAATAAATCAATAAAAACATGAATTCTTAAAATAGTCATACATATTTTTATTTGAGATAAGCTCAATCCACCCCATCTCATTTTAACCACTCAATAGGCCGATCCTATCCGATCTGGTTTCAGTCTGATCCGGTTCGGTTCAAGATACCCCACAACTCAGCATAAATCAAATCGACTGTCTAACTTATCTCTCATTACCCGCTTCACACAAGCGAGACAACCCATACATCGAAACAATTGTATGTGATTTCCTTAAAATACTTTAGTTCTTGACCTTTATTCACAAAAAAAAAAGAAAAAAAAAAAAAAAATCAATTAATATATTTACAAGTTTTCATGCACAATCAATTCAATGACATACCATATAATATTTAACTGCGATGCGAAGAAGTTACATAACAAAAATCATAATTTTTTTTTTTTTTCACTTGGTAATTGGGTTGAATATAAGACTATATAGGTTAGAGTAGAGTTGATCTGAGATGGAAGTTATTGTGGTGGCGGCCGACGGTGGGGACGGTTGTGGGTGGGCCCCACAATCTGTCGTGGGCTGGTGGTGCAAATGGCGGTCTTGCCATGCAACGGTGTCTCCTCCGCTGTGGGCCCCACTTCCCATTTCCCTTCGGCCACATCTTCTTTTTTGGTTTTTCTTTATTTATTTTTTTCATTTAATGTAGCACATTGCAAGTTCTACATGACATAAAATTATAGAATATAAATGTTAATTATTTTTTATATTGATTATAAGTCCACATAAAATGAATTAATAATATAAAAACTCTTCACATGGATTACATCCCCACCAATGAATAATACATTTAAAAATATTTTTAGCATATCCAAAAACCTATAACTAATTACAACTATAAGCAATTAGTTTGCATACTAATAAATTAGATCATCGTCTCTTTATTATAATAAATTATTAGAAAGAAAAATATATTTTTTGTTTACTAATAATATTTTGGTTGTGGTAGGACAACAATACCATAATAATAATTTCGGGTACCATTTGTTTACCGAAGTAATTTGACAAGGTCGGTACGATTATCATTTAGTACAAACATGGTTCGGTAGGGTAATCAGTCGATATGGAATTCAGTAAAAAAATGTTCATCCCTGAAAGATAATGTATGTATTTGCAAAATAAATTTCAATTTTGAGCTTATCTTGATAAAAATTTTAAAAACTATAATATATTTTTTTTTTAAATTATAAAAAAAAAAAAAAAAAAAAAAGAAGAAAAAAATCAAACTTCCTTAAAGATTGGAACTAGTGGATAAGTATTTGTTTTTATGGTTTTAAGCAAATTATTTTAAGATGAGGAAAAGCACAAAATGTTTTAAGATAAGCAAATTATTATAATATATATTATAGAAAAATAGAAAGTGTTGAAATAAATCTGCATCCATCATTGTGTTAATGAATAGGGAACAACATAGTAAGCTGTTGCTTTCATAGTTAATTAGAACACAACAAACCAACCTTATAAACATGCCACAAAACTATTTCTGATGCCATAAAACATTAAACTTAAATTTCAAAAGGAAACATATTAATCTATATTAATTAATACATGCTAGTAATAATAATAATATCTTGCTCCCATGACTAAATCATCAAGTTATCTTCTTCTTTTTCTCTTATCAAACTTAATCAGATCAACTAGTTTCTTCTCTACGTTTCACGTAACGAACTTCACAAACCTAAGTCGAGATCTAACAATTTTCTCCTTTTTTTTTTCTTTTTTCTTTTAAAAAATGGAGAGAGAGAGAGAGAGAGAGAGAGAGAGAGAGAGAGAGAGAAGGGGGACAAAGGGGGTCGGCGATATCTTCGAATTTGTTTTCAATGTTCAGCCCCCAAGCACCTGCATGTTATCAAGAAACTAAAATTCAACTCCCACAATACTCCTGCATTTAATGCTTCTTCATTTCTCTTCACATATACATACATATATTCATCCATATCTCACATTTCAAATCACAATTCTCCCTCAGTTTCTTCTTCTTCTTCTTCTTCTTCTTCTTCTTCTTCTTGTTCCGAGATTCATATACTATATATAAATACCATAACACTTGGCACTTAAATATAATTATCTCCCAATTATGGCTTCCCGTGTTTATCTTGTATTGTTTATCTTTTTGCATGCATGTTCCGCTAGACCGATTACGATTCACGATAAAGAAACCGTTACGCAACTTGAGCAACTTTCTATCAAGGTAAGATTTCTGATTTTCAGACATGTAATAAGTTCACACTGAATTTATGTACAAAATTGATTTCGACTGATTATAAATTTTGTATTTTTTTTCAGGATCTAATGGCTTCAGTTGCCAATAAATTCACGACACGTGGTACAAACGTCGTGCATAAGGACAAAGATCGTCAGAAGTCCCCTTCAGTTCAAGAAGCTGAAAACATTGAAGGTTTCTGGAAAAAAAAAAAAATTCATTTAGAATCCAATGTTTTTATTAGGATATATAAACTGAAGCTAATTACATTATTCCACAATATCCGATTTGTGCCGAATCAATAATTGCATTATGTCGCAATATTATTGCTTATATTGTTCCATTTCAACTTATTTTTCGTATTTTCTTTCTCCTCTAATCACTAAAATATCTTTGAACTTGCAGACAAAAAGGTCAAAATTCCCTACGCTTGGAAGTTGTTGCAGCAGGCTACTGAAGCAGAGGTACATTCATTAATATATAATCCATATAGAAAATTTTCTCAACAAGGACTTCATGGTCAAATAATAATTTGTAGCATATATATATATATATATATATATATATATATATATATATATATATATATATATATATATATATATATATATGTGTGTGTGTGTGTGTGTGTGTGTGTGTGTGTGTCATGCACACATGCATGGTGTTATTTTTGCATTAAAGAGGAAGAATGAAAATTACACTCTTGTTTAAATAGTGATAAAATTACAATATGTACGCAGATAATGAAGAGAGAAGAACGTTCGATACTGGAATCAACACAAAGCAGTGCTGAGGAAAACTTGAGCTCCAAGAGCAACGACCCAATGGAGGACGTTGTAGTTATGGATTACGCACAACCCCATCGCAAACCACCCATTCATAACAAAGGAACCTAATAAGTACCAAATTATAAAATGCCTAATTTTTTTTTTTTTTTTTTCTCTTCACAAACATGTTTGTTTTATTACCAAATTAAAATAAATATTCCTACTATGGATCTTCTTGTTTTTTTTTTTGTTTCCTTTTGTTTTTTAACAGTGTTAGATTTGTTGAAAATGTATTATGTGACACTTTTTTGTGATGAAGTTGTACAAGATTGGATTGAATAATTATTGGCAATTATTGAGAAAATATGGAGCAACTTGGTTATATACAATGCATATATGGCAAGTTGAAAGTGTTGGAGAATGTGATGAACTGGGGAAGATGGTCCTTATACATGTTGCTTGTTGTTTTGCATTAAATGTTGGTGATAATAAATAATTTATATACACTTATGAATTATGATGATTGATCTCTTGTGCTTTGGCCATCGCCATAAATGCTGCTTTAATTATTGGGTTTTTTTTTTTTCTCTCTCAACATTGAACTAGACACAATTGTTTGCATTTAGACCGCTGTTCAAATTCCATTGTAATGTCCCAGAAATTTTGCGGACGGAACGGACATTTTTCAGAACACCATTTATATATGGGTCCGTTAAAATTACTGGCCCGACAGCAAAATTATCAGCCGATAAAACCGAGTCGAAAGTGGATCGGTTGGCCGATAAAACCGACCCATGCCCAGCCCTAGGATAGTATGGCCCTTTGACACCAAGACAGTTTTATTTTCTTCTTAAATCTAAACCATGTTATAAATGGTGCATAATTTGAATCTTCGGTTTTGATTCTAGTAATCAAGGTTATGTATTAACTCACCTAATGAGAATTAGTACACAAGGAAGAGGATTGACATTTCTTGGTTGCGTTCATATGTTTTATCGACCCATAACGAAATATTATGGTTGCGTTCATATGTTTTATCAAAGAAATCGAACTCTAAATCATTCGTGACAAAACGACGTGTCATGATTGTGTAGTCTCGATTAATTGATTGTAGTACAAGCTACGAACATGAGCATAATTTCCCAATACGCAAGACACTCATCCATCTCATTAAATTAGAGAGATATTAACGAAGCAAATCATCAATGTAGAAAGTGACGGATTGCTAACTATTTTAAAGTCCCCAAAAATAAAGTTAGATGTTGATGCAGGCTTCCTCAATATTTTCTACCTAACTTAAGCTACGTGTACATAATGTTTTCACGAATTTTGGTAACTTGAGATCACTGATATTTGATATATGTAACGAAAAATAAAATAAAATAGAAGTATAAGTGAATATCAGACGAATAACTGATTTATTGTGTGAAGGAATTACCGACACAAACCTGGAAAATCTCCATGTAAATATTCAGGCTGGGAGAAATCAACTGCTGCTACAGTTAACAATGAACGGCTTTACGTAATTAACGAATTCCGAAGTTCTGATCCCTAATTTAAGATCGATCTCGCCACCTCCCAGCCAGAAGAAATCTGGATTGAGCTTCACTATTGCTTCATCCAAAATAACCTGGTTAACGATATTTTATACGTTAAATGTAATTATGCATGTGGTACTGTAGACACATCACTGTGTGTCTGAAATGCATAATCATCAATCATTGTCGTTTCAAATATACTAGAGGAACATATAAACATGATGCAACAAACGAGGAAAAATAAAGGTGATTTGACTACACATTTTGTATTTCAACAGCGTACGTATAACATCCGAAATCCTATGTTAAATCTCATAAACTTAACAAGGGCAATTGAGGCAATACGAATGTTCAATCATCATTTATCTCGAGTTTTGGGGCAATGATCTGATGCTATTTTTCCTTCGATGTTCACTTATCATGTTTTGTCTAAGGGATGTGATAAATGCCGTTTCAGTTCTAATAATACAGTTTCGCGATTTTGACCATTTTCGAGGTTGAATTTGAAAAAAACTCATAACACAGAATTTGTATATCTTTAAGTTAGCTTTCTAATCCAAATTGTATCAGCAATATTGGATGTCGTGTGAGAAAGATATAAAATTCAAAATGTAATATTAGATTACCGAACACTGCCCACAACTTTGATGTTTAGAGTAATATAAAATTCAAAATGTAACCCATTCATGCAAAACTTCATCACCAGACATCCAATCTAACTGATTCAATTTGGACTAGAAAGCTAACTCAAAGGACTACAGTTTCCATGTTTTGAATTTTATAAAAGGGTCAAAATCACGTTCGAAGTTCAAACGGTATTTGTAAAATTGAAACGACATTTAATATTCTAAACACGTTACTGCATCAATAAATTTAAATTTACAAGTTCGATAACCACAGTGGAAAGGCAGTTCGTCAACAAAAAAATGCAGCAGAAACATAATCAAAATGCGAAAAGGACGGTGTCAATTTTTTTTCTGGACTCAGCAGAGACAGCAATGCAAATTATGAATCTACTGATAGGTTTCATTTTTTGAGACAGCTGCCAAAAAAGACAGCTGGCGTAATTGAATAGCAAAGACATTTTGTACGAACATCAAATAGATGCAACCAAACAAAATGTCCTAATTTCTTGTACGAACGAGAACAAGCAGGGCAACCCCTGTCTGCCCTTCTTTCACAATCATCAACTATTGGAGAGACGAGACATAACAAAATAAAATGCAACAATTATATACAATAATACAAATCCCAGGTTGATATTTGGTCAACCACATTATACAGCTGCATACAGACAAGGTTTGTCTACCTGGAGAAATCATTGACATGCAGTGCTTTAGTGGCCTTTTACGAGCCATAAATCGGTTCGTTGTATTCAAACCAATAGGAGAATCATTAAATGTTTACGGACGAGTTTTAGTGCAAAAGGTTTACATGTGGGATTTTAATAGCAAATTCAATTTAGGCTGTGTTTGGTTCATGGATTTCGAAATGAGTAAAATGAAACAGTAAATGGAAACAAAGAATTTGAAAATCTCTAGTATGTTTGGTTCCTAAGGAAAATGGTGATGAAATTGATTTTGTGGAAAATTATTTTCGTTAGTTTTGATAGTAAGAAAAATGATAATGGAATGAAAATAAGAATGAATTGTTAAATGGAGTGATTTTATTTTGTATCGAAGACGTAAAAAGAACAAAACTATGAATACAAATACAATTTATGATGTGTGAGAGAAGAGGAGAGAAGAGAAAGAAAAAAAAGAGAAAGAGAGAGACGAAAGAGAAGAGAGAGAAGAGTGAGGAAGAACATACAATAGAGCGAGAGAGAAAGACACGAGAAAGATGTCTGAGTATTACATTTTTTTTTCTCACTTTTTTTGAGGAAAAAGCATTTTCCTAGTTTTAGTGTAATTTTTTCCCACCTTTTCCTCTCAATTACATTACCTAACATGTTACCTTGCAACCAAACATGAAAAATCAATTTAACTACTATTTTCAACATTTTACTAATCATTTTCCTTGAACCAAACAGAGCCTTAAATGACAAATAATCAGACGGGAGATAGTGCAATCACAAAATCCATGAACTATGGCAAGCAAAATAGACTTATTTCGCATGCTAGTTAAAAAAAGTGATTTCTTACAGAAAGGCAGAGATGATTAATTACCGGGATATCAGTTTTCATCCCAATGCAAGTTACTCCGTTGTGTTCATAACCAGTCAACTTTCCTGATATTTCTTCTGGTGCAAGCCTCACTGCATGACTTCATATAGTCAGTATCATCATCCTCACAAAGTATAGTGGCAGAATAATCTTGTCATTTTCGAGATAGGCAAATTATAATTGTCGTAATTGCAGCAATGGCAGTGTATTATCTTTTTAAAATACAGATCCATATTTTGAAAAAAAATCTATTCCATAGCAAAAGCAAATCTATACTCGAGAGTAATTAAAATATATAATTATATGCAAGTAATCATTCTATATTTTAGTTATTCTCTAGATTTGCTTTTGCTATGGACAAATTCAACTTAAGGTAGCAACACATATTGAACTGTGAATTTAAATAAAATCTCGTATACGAAATGAGAGAACTAGTCCAACATTTTCTCCCATCAGCAAAAATTTATCTACGCCACTCAATTTTTCATCCAAAACAGACAACCACAAAGGCAAAAGAAGAGGCTGCTACACAAGATTTTATGGTTAGTAATTTGAACCGCCACTAAATTGGGAATTATGAAAACTTACTGTTGAATTTCTTTTTCGATATCTTGCCATCGTTGAGTGTGTAAAGAAAATTCTTGACAGTCTCAGCATTGAAGCGAGCAGTATACTGAAATAAAGGATAAACAAAGTGTAACTGTGCAAGTTCAAATTAGGTGCTTTGTGTTCATAAAGATCAAAGAAAGAAAGATAGTTTACTACCTGAACAACAACGACATAATATTTGGAACAGTTACGATTACTGCAATCAGTTACATCAGCTGGGGCTTGAGTATTAACCTGTGTGGAATAAAAAGACTTTCAATCCAGAGAAAACCTAAAACTGAAGGTTACATAAACTAGGAAATAAACGCAAACACACATCTGAATCTATCAAAAAATATCGTACATTTTTCATATCACCATTATTGCAAATCCCCATTTAGATAGATGTCTTAGTTTGCAAGCAGTATTACTATTATGTTTATTAACTCGTGTTAATGTCAATGTAAATATGGGTAGAGATAAAACAGAGCAATCAGCATAAGTTAAACTGAGTTAGCATCACTATAACCTGAAAATTATGTTTCAATATAATAAAAACTAAAAATAGCAGACTAACTGGAAACCCAGTTTTCCACCTGGAGATGATATTGAAGATGACAGAAGAAAATCTGGCAGTCCGTGCAACTTACTGTCCTCGCCAAATTTGAAATTTTAAAGTTGCATTAGTTTCCACTCAAATCAATCAAGAAAGTTCATTACGCAAGTAAAAAAATGTAAAGGAAACAATAGAAAAAAGAATAAAAGGAAGTGGTTTAAGAACAAACTCAGCGGCTATACATTGACAACACAACATTATAGCAATGCCTTAGGCAGGGTCATCTAGAAAATGCCAAGAAAGTAATTTACTCAACTGAATGAAACCTTATCCAACGCATACAAGGGATCAGCTACAACGATCGACTTCTTCACTGCTTGTTAAAGAATAATCGGTCATGGTTCAACAAAGGCTCATATGCTTAATGCTTTTAAATCATTTGGTGTAATTAAGTAGGTGATTAATCTTAACTTCATCACTCTTCTTAATTAATGCATGTAATATGTCTACACAATCACAAATTTCTCCTCTTTCCTGCAATTTAACAGTCACTACTAACTACCTTAACCAAATGTTGCATGCCAGTGTTTTTACTATATTCCGTATTTCTTCACCAAGTATATACTTGATCATCAACGATTAATTAGATTTATTGAGATGTTACTTGACAGCCTGTTGGTCCTAAAAAAAATGCTGACCTTAAGAACGTCCGACTAAATTTTGCTTTAAGTATGCATATATTTCCAGTGGAATAGGAGCCTACGGGTGCTAAAAAAAGTATGCATCATGGTTAAGTAGAACAGATAAAACAGAAAATATATAGCAATTATCACAGTCAATTATTTAACTTTGACCATCAACTTCGATCGTCATTTTCGGCCATCAACTCTGGATAAATCTTAGAGATTAGTTTTTCAGGCATCATAATAATATGTTCTTGTTGGGTATCTAGGCCAGTACGAATAACACACCAAGCAGAAACCGAGCAAACGTCTACAAATGTTACTCGGTATCTCACTACTCAGCATATTTAAACCACGCATCCGATTACATTTCCAACCATAAGTTAGTTTACATTGACTCATAAATCTACATTTTCCCCTTTTTAACTAACTAATCCAATCCATCATATGAAATTCGCCTATAAAATCTCCCTAATTCCTTTTTTACTTGTAATTTTTAGAGGTATGATTCATGACTACCATAACACAAACAATCAATTTCAAATTGAAAGAAAAATATATGTATCGTGATTTCTCTATCTAAAAAGTGCAGGCATATGAATCGGTACCAGAACAATGCTCTTGCAGAGATGATGAACGGAGGCGGCGCCGAGGATATCGCGGCGAGCCTCGAGAGTCCAGTCGTAGTAATCAGAAGGCACGCGCTTGAACGAGAATTCTCGAACGGCGTTGGCGTGGAGGATGGCGGAGAGGCGGCCTTCGGTGGTGGTTGAAGAATCGGCATCGGCATCGGCGCCGGCGCCGGCGGGGGTGGGGGCGGCGGAGGAGAGAGAGGTGGAGTGAGAGAATGTTTGGGGTAAGTGAGAAAGCTCAAGGTCCGATATGCGGCGGAGTATTCGGGTTTGGACTGTTTCAAGCTCCGCCAGAGCCTCCATTTTCGTACACTCCGATTGTGTTCTCAGTTGCACGTTTTTCTTCCCTTTTTGTTTCGGCTTTTTTTAATTTTTTAAATGCAACTTTTTTTTTACAGTGATTGGTCCAATTTATTCATATTAGGGTAAAATTTATATTGCACCCTTGTATTTTGCAAAATGTATCATTTACCCCATGTAGTATAGAAAACATCAAACGCTCCCCTATTTTTTACGGTCATATGATATATAATCCGTAATTTTTTAAATTTTATTTTTGTGGATTGTTGACGGTTTTTAATGTTTATTTGATGTTGATTTTTGGGGTTTTTAATTTTATTTTTTCGGAGGTTTTGCCGTTATAATATGAAAGCTTTGCTTTTAATTTACAATACTCTCATAAGGTTTTATTTTAATTTTAAGGTTTCTTTTAGATTTAAGGGGTTTTCAGTTTTTTTTTTTTTTTTTTTTGAGACAATGGACATGAATACTTAGCAAGAGTCATTTGTTGTTGCTTTACCATAAATTTTTGACGAAATAAGAGTGACTCTTTTGGAGAAACACATGTGTCAAACATTTCATGAATGTGGTCTTAAAGACGACCTACACATTGTCTCTAAAATACATGTATGGAAAAAACACTATGAGTGTTTATCAACAATGCTCACAAGGATCGGTTTCGGTTGGAACGATGCTTCTTGCACCATCAAAGTCATTGATGATCAAGTTTGAGACGAGTACGTGAAGGTAACTCCACTAAACTAAACAAACTTAACATCGCTAATTTCATATTTACTCTAAATTTAATATTAGTATTGCACTAAACACCATTTATTAACGATGTAGTTGGATACACATGCTCGCACAATGCAATACAAGTCATGGCACTTTTACACAAATTGGACTTTATTTTTTGGAAAAGATCGAGCCACGTGTGAAACACCGAAGCATTTGTGGATACGATGAATGATTGGTTTTCCAAGACAAGGGTAACAATAATGTGTCGGCTTTGTTTGGTGGAGATTATGTTCCAACACTCAACCCTAAAAATAACAAAGACGATTTCAAGTACATGCTACTTCACGTGATGAAAAATGCAACCTCTAGAAATGGTACAAACGTCCAAGGAATGAAGGTATGGATGAAATTGAAAATCTTATAGTTGAATTGATGTCCACAACTAGGTTTAGGTTGGTTTATATCGTGCATGTATAAATCCCCTCAATCTCAAATGAGTCTCTTAGAACTATTAACGAAAAACACATCTCAATAGTTTTGCAAATTGGCAGTATGTCCGAGCAATTCCTGTCGTCTGTACGTTGTTATTGTGGCAACTACAAGTACAAATTTGCCTTCAATTAAAGATCTCGGGAGAGGCCATACGCCGTCTAAAAGGTGTTCTACTTTGGAAGGAGTACAAGAAGTGCGGATACATGAGTTGATGTAAAGAAACAAAAAGTTTGAGTTGTGTACAAGAACGCCATAATCGCTTAAAGAGGGAGTTTTTATTTTTTAACAAGTCCTACTAATGTACACTATAAATCTAAACTAGTGAAATCTTGTTTGCAAATCCTTGTGGATGTTGGTCGCATTTGTGTTTGAATCATATTAATAAGTGTGTATTTTATTATGTTTTTATAAGTTATATTTCATAACAACACGCGAAATATATTGTTGCACTATAGTGAATGTCGTAACAATTAGTTTGTCTCAACAGAACGCGTAAGATTTTATCGACATATAAATCAACAATTCGCATCAAGTGTGTGATTTTGGGAATTGGAATTTTCTGTTTTACTATTATAGGATGCGTATTCACAAGTAAGACGGTTCAGCTACACGTCTCCCATTACTAAATAGAACGAACTAAAATTTATGATAAAGATGAATACTTGGTAATTGGAAGAATAAATAAAGCAAGAGTGGAATATAAAAAATATGATAGAGAAGGTAGGTCATTTGACTTGTTATGAAACTGTAGGGGAGAAAAATGCAAAGGCAAGAATAATATATATAGTTTCCCACTCCTTGTATTCCAACTCGCCCATGGTAACAAAAATTTGTCAATGCACTTTATTGATATTATTATTAATTGTTATTGATTATTAATATACAAAAAAATCTTGCACTCCTAATAAAATACTTGCTCCATTATAATTTATAAGATTATTTTATCTGAAAAACAAAAAATATTAAAGATTTTCATTTGCCTGTATACTAAATTTCAGATAATAACTAAAGAAAAATAAATTAATAAATAAGATAGTTGAATGGTATCATTAATTCCATAAGTTCACGCAATAATATTAGATTATTTTGTAAAGTATAGTATCAACTTTTCAAAATTAATAAGAAATGGCAAATTGGCAACAGAAGAAATTAGTACGGAAAAGCGTGTTGAGATAATCCGCACCTTGTTTTAGAGAAAAGCGTGTTCATAATAAAGGTTAATAACATGGGTAAATTACAAACACCCCCTAGGTATGGTCAAATTACGAAAAATCCACTCTTGTTTGGATAATTACAACCACCCTTCAACTCCTCAAATTTAGTGAAATCTTCGAGATTATATGGAATATTATCACTTATGTACCCGTTTTATCCCATTCGAACTCTACATTTTGAAGTAAGATGATCATAATATGTGTTTTTTAACTTGTATATATCAGATTGTAGTGCATCGGAAACTGTATTTTTACACAAAACGAGTACAAACTAGAGTACATCCCACGAAATCTAGATGATTATGTTGAATTAGACACCATAAGGGTGGAGGTGTAAGAAAAAAACATAGTTGAAGAGAGTAAATATAATTATCCAAACAAGAGGGTTTTTTTTGTAAATTGACCATACCTCAGGAGGTGTTTGTAATTTACGCTAATAACATTGACGTAAAGAATGGAAGGTTCCCATGTGACTTGGGCCTTGGAGTGGACACCACGTTTGCCTTCTCGAAACGTTTTGGAGAAGAGTGATTATTGCGTTTATTTTGTTCCAATTTTCAAAGAATATTCTTATTTTTCCCGGATCGAAATTAGTTGTCGTCTTTTAAATTTTTTTTTATTACAGTAGAATCTCGATAAATCAATACACAAATAAATTATAACATCGTTTAAATAATATTTTTTTTCACTCGGTGCCAAGCAACTAAATTATTAATTCGATAATAATATTCCACTAGATTTATAGAATGTTGTTTGTTCTAAGTGTATTAATTTAAAGGGGTTTTGAATCTACTTTAAAATTTCAATTATTACTTATTTTATTTTTACTTTTTCAATTTGCACTTTTTTTTTAATATCATATGAAGCATTAATGTTGTAATAATAGGGTGGTTCCAACTTCCAACAATTTTGATGTTGTAATAGTGGAGTTGTGAGTTTTGAGAGATTTATTTAATTATTCTACATACCTTAAGCGATTTTTGTACATTTAATCATTTTCTTCTTTTAAATCTTCCAAAGTAGCACCACCAATTTTATGGTTATTGTTCGAAAGTATATCGTTATTTTCATCATTATTAAGTATTTTTGTTTGTTCGACCATATTACACAAAAGTACTTTTTCCCACGAGTCGTAGACGTCGATTCACGATGATTACACTTAAGTATATCTAGTGACATCTAACAAACTTTAAAATAAACGAGATAAAATTATAGTCCACATCTGCGAAGACCTATAAAAAAGATTTCACTTATTCAGAATAAAAACATTAAAGACTACCTCTAATGTTAACATTGTTCTTGTACAATATTCGAACTTTGAGCGTTTGAATTGTCAAAGTCCTCTAATCGACACTCGTGGTCTCCCTCTAATCCCCAAATCGTGGTCTGTCGCAAGATGCACGAGCGTGTGATACTTACAACCTATAATCTACATAAATGATGTTGTGAATTACTTGGTGTGATATTTATTGAACATTGTTGTCTGAGAAATTACAACACGTCATGTTTGTACTATAACCCACTAGGTTTTAAGGTCATTCAAGGCAAGTTTTGAAACACATTTTTTTTGGTAGTATAAGCTTACCCTTCCCATCTCGAAAAGTCGATCTTCTTTATCGTAAACAGAAGCAACCCATGTACATCACGAACTATTGCAGCAGACAAAGAAACAACCAAAGTCGATTTTCTTAATAAAAAAATCCATATCCAACCAGATAGATGCACTGGATAAACTCATCAAAAAATTGAACTTACCAAAAATAAATCAAACATCTTGTGAGATTAACAAATTTAAACTTACCAAAAACAAATATAACCTATTACAAGGCATCGTAAAAATCTAAATTCAGAGCAACTTTAATGGGGAATTAAATGGAGTATCAAATGATAAAATTAAATCATTTTGATTCCCAAAACTTAAAATATTTCCCTCCAATTGAGGCATAAAATTGATAGTTAGATTGATACTCAACTCCCCGGTGGTGCAAAACAAGATCCCGGAAAGTGAAGTATCAAAATTGTAACCACTCAATTAACCTATCATGAGCTGAAACGTGTTATTTAAAAAAAAAAAATTAATACTCTATTTAAAGCTTGTAAAGATGTATCAAAATAATATAAGAAATATGATTAAATATAAAAACACCCTTGTACTATGAACTTTGTATCATATACCCCTTGTACTATACACATAAATACAAAAATCCGCCCGCATGGGTGTAGCTCAACTGGTTCCGGAGGTGGTAAGTTGGTGCAAGGTCCTAGGATCGAATCCTGGCAGCCGCAGTGTGGGAATTTCAACTCCAATGAGATTGGTTCCTTGTGGGCACCAGGTCCGGGTCCGCTACCTTAACCGGCCGTTGAGTTACCATGATTTACATTCCTCCATCAATCCTTGTCGGGCCAAGGGATGGGGGCCCTGGGGGCGAGGGATTTCGCCTTTTGGTGCAAATACAAAAATCCCATTCACATTACATTTTTTTTATATATATATATATATATATATATATATATATATATATATATATATATATATATATATAAATAAGATTGAGCCACTTTCCACTATATATTTTACCATTTTCAGTCAATTTTACGTGGGAAATTTTGGTATCTATATTTTTTTTCTCAAAAACATCTAATTGCTTAGATTTTTTCTCAAAAAATACAGTTTTTGATTCACCACAATTTGATATATACAAGCCGAAAAGCACATCTTATGATCATCTTGCTTCAAAATGTGGAGCTCGAATGAGATAAAGCGAGTACAAAATTAAGACTATTCAATATAATCTAGAAAATTCCACTAAATTTTAAACCGCAAGGGTGGACGTGTAAGAAGATTTATAGTTAAGGAGGTGGTTGTAATTACCCAAACATGAGGGAGTTTTTGTAATTTAATCATACCCCAGGGGTGGTTGCAATTTACCCAAAAATAAACAAACTTTTGGTTAGAGGGTGTTCCCACATCATAGCACAACTCCTACCTCAAATATCCCAAACCACCACACTATATATATACTTCAAAAACCCCCCACCACTCTCCTCCACCACCACCGCACCACCACTCCTTTCTTCACACACACACTCTCTCACGCGCCGCCACAGAAGATCCATCATCAAAATGGAAATGCACAAGAGCTCATCCTCCTCCTACCTCGGCCCCGGCGGCCTCGACCTTTCCAAAACCTTCTTCACCCCCATCTCCGGCGGATCGACGCCGTCCCCCACCAAACGCCCCACCAAGATCACCGTCGTCGGCGTCGGCAACGTGGGCATGGCCATCGCCCAGACCATCCTCACCCAGGACCTCGCCGACGAGATCACTCTCGTCGACGCCATAGAAAACAAGCTCCGCGGCGAGGTTCTCGACCTCCAGCACGCCGCCGCCTTCCTCCCCCGGACCAAGATCCACGCCTCCGTCGACTACGCCGACACCGCCGACTCCGATCTGTGCATCGTCACCGCCGGAGCGCGGCAGAACCCCGGCGAGAGCAGGCTGAACCTCTTGCAGAGGAACGTGGCTCTCTTCAGGCATATCGTGCCGCCGCTGGCCAAGTACTCGCCGGAGTCCATTATACTGGTGGTGTCGAACCCGGTCGACGTGCTGACGTATGTGGCGTGGAAGCTTTCCGGGTTTCCCGCGAACCGGGTTATCGGGTCGGGTACGAACTTGGATTCGTCCAGGTTCCGGTTCTTGATTGCTGACCATCTTGATGTCAATGCACAGGACGTGCAGGTGAGATTATTCTTTAATCTTTCTTTCTTTATAATATATTCTCACTTTGTTTTTTTTGTTCCAATTTTGGAAAAAAAATAAAACAAGATAATTAAAAGATAATTGTTAAAATAATTAATAATAAATTATTATTATTATAAGTAATAAATAATTCAAGATATTCTTAGATTCGTGTCAGCTTTTCTATACAATAATTCAAGATATTTTAGCCTTTTTGGGATGGACTGCTATTAAATACATAATCTGGTTTTGAACCTTATTTCTACATGAATAATTAGATATTATTATTTGTGTTATTACGTGTTGATTAATAGTGTAAAATTACATGATGTATTTCACCAGGTGTAGGTTCTACAAACCGCCTTTAAGATCGATAAACCGGAAATGATTATGATATTATCTGCTCGAAATGTTTAATTTTATTTTATTCTTTACTAAATTGTTGTTTGATGAATTATTCTTTACTAATTAGATTTAGGGATTTAGAATAACTAATTTTAAATATAATAATTTGCACTTTTGAAAAGTAAACCTATTATACACTTCCTTTTCCTCTCTCCCCCCACTAATGTCAACTCATATATATCTATGTCCCTAACTACTATCTCATAGTGGAAATAAGATATTATTTTTTTGGAAGCCGAATAAACTATTTTTTTTAAACCGCTACATTTCTTTATAGGGGTATAAATAAATCGAGTCGAACTGATTATATAATTGCTCAAATTTGTTTGAATTTTTATCTGAGTTTTGCAAAGTTAAGTTTGAGTTAATTAGTTTAATTTTGAACGAGCTCTAATGAAGCTAAACACAAATTGAGCTCGAGTAGCTTGATTTTTCATATTTTATCATTGTTTTCTTACGAACTCAAGTTCGAGCCAAAGTTCATAGCTTACCAAACAATGTAAGTGTTAACGCTTAGTTTGTTATATAACAAACCGAGCACAAATAAACTTTTAAAGAACGGTCTTAAATCGAGTATCGAGTAATTTAGTTTGATTTTCAGCCTAACTTCAAAATATTTTAGATTAGTATTTTTTATTTTTGAAACATTCGACTCTTTGATATCTTAGAGATTTTGGTCCATGCATTATAAGTTTGAGAGCTAAAATTCGGAAAAAAAAATTCTATTTCCCTTTAAAAAAATATGAGCGTTCATGTCTGTGTGATTATGTGTAGATCTACGGTTAACAAACACCCAGTGTATATAATCCGACGCAGCATCTAATTTCCCGGCGTTCATAATTGGAATTAATATTTATTTTTAAGACATTTTTTTTCAGGCATACATAGTAGGGGAGCACGGAGATAGTTCAGTGGCACTATGGTCAAGCATAAGCGTAGGAGGAGTCCCGATCCTCAGCTTCTTAAAGCGCCAGCAAATTCCGTACGAAAAGGAAACCCTCGAAAGCATACACAAGGAAGTTGTACAGAGCGCTTACGAAGTCATACGTTTGAAGGGCTACACTTCTTGGGCTATCGGCTACTCCGTTGCTAGCTTGGCTCGGAGCTTGCTTCGGGACCAGAGGCGTATCCACCCTGTCTCCGTCCTCGCAAAGGGCTTGTACGAAATCGACGGTGGAGATGTCTTCCTCAGCCTGCCAGCTCAGATCGGACTCGGCGGAGTTTTGGGTGTTGCTAATGTGCATTTAAATGATGAGGAAGCTCAGAAGCTGAGAGACTCTGCTAACACCATTCTTGAAGTGCAGAGCCAGTTGGGGCTTTGATTTTTTTCATTTATTAATATTATTTCTTATTTTTAATTATTTTCGAGCTATTTTTATTTTTATTTTTGTACCGTCGAATTTGGATGTTTTTCATAAATATGTGTGAATGATTATGTATCTACGGTGTAATGATATTCGGTACGTTTTACTCGATGTGCCCATGTCAGGGGTGAAAATGGCAAGAAAGTTTTGAATTCTGACGATTATGATTCGATTTCTTTGGATTTTAGAATAATGTTTTTTTATTCTGAATTAAGAAAGTGTTGATGCCAAAAATTGTGTGGTATTGATTCCGTTAACGTTATTAATGTCATTACCTATTTATTTTCTATTTTTTATGTTGGTGGTATTGAAGTGAGAAAGAAACAGTATTTGTTTTAGTCTTTTAGCCGTCCCCATTATGTATTATAGGTAACTAAGAAATTTGAATTTACAAATTTCGTCGGCTCCACTCCAAAATTTTCGAATTTTGGGAAAATAAGTAATTCGAAAGTCCGAAATTCCGTTTTTTTAGGAATAGAATTAGTTTTTCCATTGGACTAAAAGGAGCCTTCATTCTTCTTTCTATGGGCCTAGCACAATCATTATATTACAAGCCTAGGTCAAAACATAATATTTACCGGGTAAACTCATAACCCAATCAAAAAATAACAAAAAAGAAAAAGAAAAAAATATTTTGATTTCATGTGATCTAGCCAATGTCACGGGTCGCTCGTTTCTCCTTGGAACCAGGGGGTTAAGCCTACGCAGGGAGCCCAAGTTGAAGGGGCCCAAGAGCCGAGATCCTTAGAAGATTCTAGAAGATCTTCTAGAATCTTCCCATTAATTTAGAGATCCTGAAAGGATGTTCCTTTGTATATATTTTGTCAGGAGATCGTAATAGTTAATCGTAGCCTTGAGATCAAAATAATCATCACCATCCATGGAGGAGGTGTAGTCTTAAGGAGGTGGAGTAGTCTTTAGATCAAGATAATCATCACCATCTATCGAGGAGATGAAATTGTATAAATATGGTAGACTCATTCAACAATTCATTAATCAAAGAGTCTAAAGATTGAGACCATTTCTTACTATTCTCGAAACCAGGGCCGGCCCAAGCCCAAGGCGAGCAAGGCCGTCGCCTTGGGCCTCCGAAAAGTCGAAAATATTAGGGCCTCAAATTTTCGTAGATTAGATATATATAAATACATGTACATTTTCCATCATAAGTTTTCTTCACATTTTCCATCATAAACATGGGCCTCAAATTTCCGTAGATTAGATATATATAAATATATGTACATTTTCCATCATAAGTTTTCTTCACATTTTCCATCATAAACATAGGGCTAAGCTAAAGGTTTAATAAAGCCCAAAACGAAACATAGGGCTAAGCTAGAGGTTTCTTTTTTTACTCTTATGGGCCAAGCTAATAAAACCCAAAACATAAATAAGAAAACATAGGGCTAAGCTAAAGGAAACATAGGTCTAAGCTAAATGACCCAAAATGGTAAGTAAACATAGGGCTAAGCTAAAGGAAACATAGGGCTAAGCTAAATGACCAAAAATGGTAAGTAAATAACCGAGTTTTTTAAAACAAAATTCTCATATTTTGAAACTCTTTAACAAATTTTGAAACTCTTTAACAAATCATAATAGACCACAAAAGACGAATATAATTTGTACGATTGTCGTTAAATCTCAATAATTAATTAAATTTGTCTATAATTATCTTTGTTCTTTCGTTTTATTCCTAGATTTTTTTTATTGTCTTTATATTTGAATTTAATAATTTGGCTCTTTAGTATTATACTATGTATTTTTTTAATTTCATAGGTTGAGTATCTCTAACAAAAGTTTGAGTCGGGATATTAAAAAAAAGGAATTAATCACAAAAAGAGCTCTATGCTTAAAAAAAATCTTACAAAAAATATGTTGAAAATGAAATTATGGACTCGTGGTTGAGGAATGAGTTGATAAGTTAGAACAAGGTTGGTAATTAAGAGGCCCTCGTTTTCGATTTTCGCCTCGGGCCTCCGAGACCCTAGGACCGGTCCTGCTCGAAACACACATCACTGAAGCTGTCGCATGTATTCGATACACAAACATGTAATTATCAAAATTAGTTAAGCCTAATAAATAATATCTTTATCAAAATTAGTTTCAAACCTGATTTTCGTACAACTGAATCCAATTAGTTAAGCCTAATAAAGAGCTCAAACATGATTTTCGTCGTAACCAAGCTGCAATGTCCTAACGCATGATGCAAGAGCTCAAACGCAATTATCATCAACCGTTGTAACCAAGCTGCAATGCCCTAACGCGTGATGCAAGAGCTCAAACGCAATTATCATCAACGGTTGTAGCTCATTCAAATTTGTAGTCGAGCAGTAACTCATTCAAAATAGTTAAGCGATCCATCGCCGCAAGATCTGCTATTTGTGAACCCTTAAAGGGTTTGACCACCAAGAATATACTAAAATCGAAATTGTATTATTATTATTATTATTATTATTATTATTATTATTATTATTATTATTATTATTATTATTATTATTATTATTATTATTATTATTATTATTATTATTATTATTATTATTATTATTATTATTATTATTATTAATATTATTATTATAAAATCCCAACAGTCAAATCACAAATGTATTATTATTAAAAGAAACATAAAATTTATTTAGCTATGACTTCTATTATTTACCAAATTACTCATACCGTTGTAATTGAGGAGTAACTCATTCAAATTAATTAAGTCTAATAAAGAGTTAAAACATGATTTTTGTCGTAACCAAGCTACAATTATCAACGGTTGTATGTTAGCTGATGCATATAGTTATCAAATGTTGTACTCGACACATCAACGGTTGTATTCGAGAAGTAACTTATTTGTTTCTAAAAAGAATAACGTCTAATGCATTCGAGGAATAAATGTGATGCACATTTAAAGTATATGTTTAACTTATAAAAAAACAAAAACAAAATATTATTGAACTATTTTGTACTATATCGTAGAAGTATTCCAAGGTTTTAATGGCGTTTGATGTAAATTCTGAAGTTTTTATGGTTATTTTTTTTTTTTTTGATAGGCAAGTGTTTATGGTTCATTTAAACAAAAAGCTAAAAGGGTAGATTTGTACTTTTCCCAAATAAAACGCAGATGAAACGGTGTCGTAGCTGGTTCAGTACTTCTTAACACACAGCACCCCCAATTCGGCATCAATCTTCCTCAGCTTCCCTTCACCATTACCAATTTCGAAGTAGAGAAATTCTCTCTCTATCTCATCAGTTAATTTTGACGAAAACAAAAACAATTTTGTAAAAATGGCAGGAAGACTGAGCCACGTGGCATCCCGGATCATGGGCGGTAACGGCGTTGTTCAACGCTCCGTCGCCACCTCTCTCCGGCAGCGATCCGGCATGGGTCTCCCCGTCGGCAAACATCTCGTACCAGACAAGCCCGTAAGTCCTCTATTTTTGCATTTATTTATGCATAAAGGGAAATATACATGAAACCCTAGAAAATTTCTTAATTTTTTAATTTTTTGAAATTACGGAAATGCAGCTTCCAGTGAACGATGAACTTGTGTGGGATAACGGAACTCCATTTCCAGAACCTTGCATCGATCGAATTGCCGATACTGTTGGAAAGGTCGGGTTTATTTTTTGATCCATTGGAGTATTTTTTTTTTTTGGTTAAGTTATATAATTAATTTGGGTTTTTTTTTGTTATATTGATTTTGAAATGTTTAATTTTTGGGATTATAGTATGAAGCATTGGCTTGGCTGTGCGGTGGGTTGAGTTGTTTCGCGGGCCTCGGGTTATTAGCTGTGTGGAATGACAAGGCTTCCACAATTCCATTTGTAAGTCAATAATTTTTCGATTCTATTTTTTATTTTTTATTTATTCAGTCACATGGTTGGAAGTAGTTGTTCTTTAATCCGAGATTGGTGTGTTACTTGGCAAATCTTAGATTTGCTTTGGTTGTTTGTTTGTTTAGATTTATGATTATGAAATGTTTATTTTCGTGATTTATTTTCTGAGGTAGCGATGATTCACGATCATTTTAGGCTTAGGTGGTGTATTTTCAGAGAATGCATGGTTAGTGCGTGAATTAGGTCGCGTTTGGGTGGAATGAATTGAGCTATGGATTTCAAAATTCATAATAACAAATTCATTGAGATTGTTGGCAGTTTTTTATTCTACTATGGATTTCAAATCCTTATCTCTCACATGAACTGTTTTTGAGTTATTAATGGATTCGAATTGCACTCTATATGGAGGTCATTTGAAACCCGTCACCCGAATCATATAATCAAATCAAATTCTTTAACAAACGCAACCTAAGGGGTTTCTGATTTCATTGATCTTTGATTGTAATACAAATCTCTAATCCATTTCCATTCACAGATGAAAATCGTATATTTTTGGGCAGTGTATCCATTTGAAGTGTCTGTGGAACAATATTCAGTTTTGCTGGTTTTACACGTGACTTTTCTTTTCTTGTTTCCTGCTCCTCCACTAATAAAATTACTAAGGGAGGCCTCGAGGCATTGAATTTAATCTGTGATGTTATCATTAGTCTGTGTGCTTGCAAGTTTATCACCGTATCGATACTCTGTGCTTTTCCATTTCATTTCGACAGAGATACATAGAGTTATGCCTATACAATGACATAATGTTTCGTTTATAGTTTTGCTAAAAATGATGAAAATAGGATCCAGTTTGGTAGTAAGATGTGGTGCAAAGTTATTTGCTGTCATGTTATGCTGTTATTATAATTTTTAGGGTAAATTACAACCACCCGTGAGGTCATGTCAAATTACAAAACCCCCTCATGTTTGGGTAATTACAACTACCCACCTCAACTACGAATCTTCTTACACGTCCACCCTTATGGTGTCAAATTCAATATAATCTTCTAAATTCCGTGGAATGTTCTCTAGTTTGTATTCGTTTGGTGCAAAAATGCATGTTTGGGTAATTACAACTACCCACCTTAACTATGAATCTTCTTACCATCCACCCTCATGGTGTCAAATTTAACATAATCTTCTAAATTCCGTGGATTGTTCTCTAGTTTGTACTCGTTTTGTGCAAAAATGCAGTTTTGTGCAAAAATGCAGTTTCTGATGCACCACAATCTGATTTATACAAGCCAAAAAACACATCTTATGATCATCCTATCTTATGATTGATCATCTTGCTTCAAAATGTGGAGCCCGAATGGGATAAAATGGGTACAAACTTGAGAATATTCCATATAATCTAGAAGATTTCACTAAATTTGACACCGCAAGGGTAAACGTGTACGAAGATTCATAGTTGAGGGGTGGTTTTAATTACCCAAACAGGAGGAGGGTTTTCATAATTTGACCTTACCTCAATGTGGTCGTAATTTATCCTAATTTTTATGTATTGTGGCACTTAACATCTCTCTCGCTCTCTCTCTCTCTTGATGTATAAATATTTATATTGCACATTTCCCTGTGGGTCCCATCTAATATGAAGGTAGAGAAAAAACCACGACACAAACTTTTCATAGTCAACCTTCCCTCTATCAATAGCAAAACAAGAACGTGGCGTATTGACTAGATACTTTCTCCCAGAACTAGTGAAAGCCTCAACTCAAACCCTGAAGTTACCGATCATTAAATTAGAGCTTTACACCATTGATTGTGTCTACTTGTATCAAGAGGGAATGAGATTTGATAGTCCTTTATTCTTTCATGGTATAGTTACAGTTCTCAATTTCCATGGCATAAGGAGAAAGTAATGGCGAATGTTCATATTATTCTGAAAAAGTAAAGTATCCTTATTTTCATGTCATGTGTTGTCATCCATTCTTGCGTGTCGTCATTTGCCACTCCAAATATCGAGTAGATAAACAGGGTTACACCTACTTTATTTATCACCAGGTAAAGATGAATAGTATATATTAGCCAACCAAAAATTCTTTGGCATTGAATCAGGATAAAACGAGTTGATAAATCCTCTCTTGTTATTTTGAACTCGGGCTTTTAGAAGATAATGTTAGAGTACTCATGATGAACAAAGTTACGATACATATTTGTTACATGAGCTGGCACTATGCATCCAAGTTCTACTGAGTAGAAGCTTTCTTGATTTGTTATCAGCGGAAACTTGGTGAAACAAATAAATCAAGAACTTACTGTTTCACATGTTAAGACTAGATATATGAAGAGATTGGGAAAAAGGGATATGAATCTTGAAATCACTCTTTTGGATGATGACGTGGATTATTTTATTTTTATTTATTTAAATTTTTTTTTTCAGGCACCGAAGGTGTACCCCTACGACAACTTGAGAGTTGAGCTCGGTGGAGAACCCTAAAGTTGCTTGCTGCAAATAGATGTTCGCCTCTCTCGTATTCTGTTCGATTATCTCAAATTGTGTAACAATGGAAGGTTCATATGATGTTTTTCCGAACCAGGTAGCTTTGAATAAGTAAAACCTCGCCCATAATAATTCCTGGTTTTGTGTTGTACTTTGTTTTTTTCCTTACATAATTGCAAGGAGCATATAGATTTCTGTTTTATGTTGTCCTTGATATTTTCCAAATCTACAAGCTTTTAGTATTTTTTAAATAGACAATTTTTTTTTTTTGATTTTCTTTCCCCCCAAAGATTTTGAAGTTCCATGTGGGAAGCTTCTAGAATGCAATTTCATTTTGAGACAAGTGTCAATAAAATTTGAAAATTGGGCCAAATATAGAAGAATTAATTTAGTGGAATTTTCTTGACTGGCGCAGTTTCAAGTATTTTTAACTACTTGCTTGATTTGTTAGGCTTCTTTGTTTGGGTTTTTGTTTGAATTACAGTATAATGCAAAGTTATAGTATTTTATTTGTTTGATAAATAATTTGTTTGCCAGTATAGTATAGTAAGATGTTAAGAAAAATCTAGTAATAGTGCAAAAAAATTAAATAATATAAGAGACAATGACCCTTTTCAAATTTTTTTAACAAGTAAAAAAGCAGTTTGCCCCTTGAACTATAGCCCGTTTTGCACTTTGCCCCATAAACAATTATTTTTAGCACGTTTTTACCTGAACTATGTTTTTTATTGCAAGGTGCCTCAAAAATGGGATTTTCAGGGCATTTTGACTGGAATCTCACACATGTGACTTTCATGTGAGTTTTACAAGGGAAAAAATGTCTTTTCATAAAAAAATTAACCTAGGATTTGATTTTCCCATTTTCTCTCCTTTTTTATTCCTCCAATTTCCTGACATCTATTCCCTTCTTCAATCTCTTACGATAATTTCCTTTTTTTTGTTCTGCTGGTTTTTTACTGGGATAAGAGAAGACAAGAAAAAAAGGAAAAATAATCCAAGGAAAATGAATATCTGAACACGAACACATTTTGTCAAACAAAAACAAAAAACAAAATAGAATCCACATTGTACCCCTCTCTCTCCTCTTTACTCTTTTGTAGAGACTGACTACAACGAAGCCACCACATTCACACTCACTTTCGGATCCTCTCGGACCACTCAGCAGCTGGGATATACGAAGAGCCCGGAATTACTGCTCGTGGGTCTGGAGGAAAATATATATATTAAATTAAATAAATAAACGGGGAAAATGAAGTATTGTAACGAGAAGAAGAGAAGAGAAGATGGAAGGGACGAGGAGATGTTAGGAAATTGGAGGAAAAAAAAGGAGAGAAAATGGGGAAATCAAACCCTAGGTTAATTTTTTTATGAAAATACATTTTTGCCCCTGTAAAACTCACGTGAGAGTCACATGTGTGAGATTCCGGTCAAAATGCCCTGAAAATTCCATTTTTAAGGCACCGTGCAACAAAAAACGTAGTTCAGGTAAAAACGTGCTAAAAACATTGTTTGGGGGGCAAAGTGCAAAACGGGCTATAGTTTAGAGGGGGCAAACTGCTTTTTACTCTTTTTTAAAACTCATGAGCTGGTGTTTGCAAAACAGTTTACATAAATAAAAGTTTGGGTAAATTCCACTTTCTCCCTTGTACTTTGACTCCATATCACTATTCCTCCTTCTACTCTCTATTGCATCGATTTGCTCCCTCTGTTATTGTGTTTGTAAATAAACTTTAATTTAAGCTTATTTTGGTGAGATATCTAATTTTTTCTAATAACTGGAATTTGAACAAGGACAATAACGGTGAAAATGTCAAATGTTTTTTTTTTTCTAAAAAAAACTGATTATAAAAGTGTTTTAAAATTGAAGAAGAAACTCCAAGAGTGCTTCTTAAATTATGACTAAAATGTTATTCATTTTTTTAAAAGAAGGAGAAGCAAAAACCAGCGTTGTAACAACAAAAAATAAATGTGAGCCAAAATTGCTTATAATCATTTTCAAAAACTTTTTGCAAACACCATCTAAAAATAATATCACGACCGACACCGTTTACCATATTTCATTTCGTACAATTCATATGTATTATGTATATTATGTATTTGATTGTGTATATTCCAATAAAAACAATTTTTTGTGTATGTATATATATATATATATATATATATATATATATATATATATATATATATATATATATATATATATATATCATAATTTTTAAGATACAAGTGTGATATAATGTTGGGTAGTTATTAATGAACAATTATTAATTGAAGATCTCTGCACTTTTTATTGGAGAAAACACATAGGAGCTTTGAAGTGTAACTAAGGTATTTTGTCAAGCAATACTTTGCCCTCGTTGTTGTATGTAAACATATACAAATTTGTTGTATGGACTTTGGGAGAGGTTATCCGCGTTGAGCTGCGGTGAATAAACACGAATTCGAGTTATGACAAGCACGACATAAATTTTAAAGATGGAGTCTTTAATATTATTATTGAGTCCTATTAATGTATGCTGTAAATTTGAACTAGTGAAATCGTGTTTGTCGGTCCTCGTGGATGTTGGTCCATTTGGGTCCATTTGCTGTAAATTTATACTGATTTAATAGTTAATAAATGTGACAACCAGTGGAAAAGTCAGTATAGCTAGGGCCAAAAGGGCATGCCCCCCTCAAATTTTAAAATTTTTTACTACCATATATGTATGTATAATTTATTACTTTTGCATTCCGCTTGTATAAATTTTCACTACTAATTTTATATAAAAAATAAATTAAGTTTTTTATTTGAAGAAAATAGTCTAACAAACATGATAAGAAAGTTGCGAATTGTAACTTGAAATGAGGGACAAGTCCACCATTGGTCAATGATAGAACCAAACTCACCCTCAAATGATTTTGTTTTTCACTATATTACACTTATATATTTATTTAGTCCACCAATTTTTTATTATTTAGTTCTCTCAAATCCATATTAATACAAAAAAATGTCCCCAGTTTTTATTTTCACATCTTACAAAGAGAAAAAAATCCTAATTTTTTTTCAAGGGCGCTGTCTTCGTATTCCTAAAAAAATAAGTTCATCCTGTAAATAATATTCTACGCTCGATCTTGAAACAATCACTGTTGTCATTAAATTATTTACATTAATTTTTTTTTATTTAAGATTGTTTATATATATATATTCGGCCCCTTAGTGACCAATCTTTGGTTTCGCTACTAGTGACAATGCAATAATTATAGTTGCAAGTTGTAACATATTACTGTCTCAATAAGTAAAGGCAGCGACTATTTGCAATGAGAAATTTACTTAGGGCAAGACCAAATTAAATTTTTTTATTAAATCAAATATAAAAAGACTATAATAACCCTAATAAAATACAAACAAAATAAAAATTCTTTTATTAATTTACTTTTGCAAGACCAATTTAAAAAAGAAAAATTAATAATAATAAAAAAAAAGCAAATTGAAAAAACGAGAATTGAAAAACGAGGAGGAGGGAAGAAGGGAAGAAAACAAAAAAAAAATCAATTGCATCACTCGCCGCCGCCCTTCGCCGTCGCCGTCGCCGTTGCAGTCCACCACCTCCCCCGTCGCCGTTGCAGTCGACAAGCACTAGAAATATCCCCCGTCACCGTTGCAGTCGTCGCCGTTGATCGTTTTTCTCGTTTTTCGCACCTCATTTCACGTACAAAAAATTCGACGTGTACAAGTCGAAATATGCTCCGAATATGGACACACTAGTGTCGAAATATGCACCGAATATCGACACCAGAATGCCGAA